ATATATATATATATATATATATATATATATACACACACACATATACAGTGTGTATGTGTGTGTGTGCGTGTGTGTATATATTAATATATATGACAATAATAATAATAATATATAATGTTATATTGTCTCTCATCTAGTTTGAGGAAGAAATGTTGCCAATCTGTTTGCTCATTCTGGAAAAACAAAAGTTGGTAGATGTATCCCTTTTACATGATCCAAAGACAGTATCAAGAGTGTGTAGTGCAATGGTAAGTCACCATGCATCTTGCCAGAAATCTTGTGAATGTATAACTTCCTATGCTGATAACTTTCTGTGCTCTCTGCCTGAGCTGACTATTATCAGTTACATTCTTTGCCATTGCCGAGGACTACCAAACCCTGCCCCTCTATGTTATGGAGAAGATGAGAGGGGTGAAGTCTTGGAGTCCCCCCTTTACCAAATCTCCCTACCTGCCACATTCTGTTTGGCTACATTGTGTTGCAATTTCCTCCCAGGCACTTCCACCAGTCAGTGGCAGCTCGCAGAATGTCTCTAAAACCATCTAGGAACATTCTGCCTTTTTCACAGTTAAAGGAGAATTATGAGGCTAGTGATTTTCACACAGCCTCATAATCTGAGCCGACCTGTGACAATGAAACTGTCACAGGTCGGCTCAGTAGATCAGGAAGTGAGCGAACACATACCGTCGCTCGCTCACTTCTCGATCTATCCCTGCAGAGAGCCGTGACTGTCACTCATGCTCCCTGCAGGGATCCCCCCTCCCCTGTCCGATCCTCCAGCGATGACTGGCCAAACGGACGGGGGAGGGGGTGGGCACAGCTGGCTCTGCCTCTGGATAGGCAGAGCCAGCTGTCAATCCCGCAGCTGGGGGGATCCAGACAGTATTGTCGGGCTCCATCCTGGCTGCGGCGTCTTAGTATACGGCGAGCTGTAGCTCGCGGTATACTGAGCTTTGGGTCAAGAGAGAACGCTAGTTTGTGTTCTCCCGTGACCCTTAGGAGAACTATGGGGAAAAGCCCTGACCCCATAGTTCTCCTTTCAACAATGTATTCCCCTTCCCCTGAACACCTATATAAATTGCATTTAGAGGGATTGTCCCTCTTTTGGAGCCAAATCCCTATATCTCTTTCCTCTTTAGCAGTACCTCTTTTTGGTTTAACCTCCATAAAATATTTACCTTTTAACAACCAAAAATGCACTAAATCTTAAACCCAACTTCTAAATGATTGAATTTTGTTTTCTTGAATGGTAAAGGAAAGTAGTGATGAAAAAAGCAACTGGTATTTTAACCATTCATGTTTTCCATATTAATTCTGACCCATCCACATAACTAGGGGTGTGGCAGGAGCGTGTCCTTTACCTGCATATTGGTGATACATAGGGATTTTATTTTTTGTGATATAGTTACAATTTTATCAATGCTTTATTTATAGTTCCAAAGATTTAAACAGATTTAATATCTATAATCTGCGATCCTATAAAAGGAAAAGCCATGAAAAAGATGTGGGCCAGTGGGTACTCACTGGTGGGATCGCCCTTGGCTCAGTCAGCCATGGCAGGATATCTAAGAGCAAATCAAGGCCATTCTTGATGTGGACCTCCTATTCCAGCCCTCGCTTTTCTACTGCACCTTTTGCCCTCCTCAATGATCCAGTACACATCCAGCGCCCTACCACATCTCCTAAGCATGGCTAAGTTCCTAATTCTGTTACACTGGAGGCACCCTTCAGTCCCATCTAGTGCAGAGTGTATCCATTTGGTTACAGATATCATAGAGTCTGATCAATGGATTGTCACATGTAATGATAGATATGAAAATACAAACAACATCTAGGCTACATGGTTCCACCATTGCTCTGTCCACTCAAAGGGTTCAGTGGCTTAGTGGAAGCTTACTTGCCTAACTACTGAGGTTGGAAGCCTAGTTAGGATAGATTTAACTTTTTTTTCTTGAGTCAAATTTGGATGTCTCCGCCTCACAGACTACACAGAGGCAATTAACTCTATATGAACTCTACATGAACTTTGGTTGGTTATCTAGTGGGGGACCTTAGTGCTTGAATACTAAAGACTTTTGGTGTTAATCTACTAGCTGCTCACCCGGCTGGCCTGCTTGTTCTTGCTATTTTTGTTGTTACATTTTATTTGTACCATATTTACTTCATTGTGTGTGCATTCCAACCCTGCCCTTTCTTGTCCCTTCCCTAGCATATTTGTTTCTTGTTTTTTCATTGATGACTTCTGCATTGGTGTCCCTACTGAGGTATGATCTAAGTGCTTGTAAACAATGTTTTGAACCGGCTTAGGGACACCAGCATGAATGAGGTCTTTTCTTTTTTTCTTATGTACTTAATGTCTTTTTCTTGATTTGACTGTATTCTGTTGATAGAAAGTGAAAATAAGGATTATGTAAAATAAAGGAAAAGAAATTACTTTCTACCAAACTAACATACAGTTTGTCTGTTCTTCTTTAAAGGTTAACAGTAATGGTGACAAAGGAGTGATTCAGGGCAACTGGAGTGGGGATTATGCTGGTGGTCGTAGCCCTACAAGCTGGTCAGGAAGTGTGGCCATACTGAAAAAGTGGGAAAGTTCTGGTCCAGTTCAATATGGACAGTGCTGGGTCTTTGCCGGCGTACTATGCACAGGTGACATAGCATTGCAACAAAAACATGTACCCAAAAATGTTTTGCCCTGTAGAGACTGGCAAACAAAGCCAATCTGATCCTCAAATATACCTGCCCATAGCACTATGAAGTACAAAGCTGTAGGACAGTAACTCTTGTAAAACAACCCGAATTCAGGTTTACTGAAATCACATGATTAAAATATGGAATCTGATTGCCATAAATGTACTTACTAATCTAAGCCCTAAATGTAGGAAAACAAAATCTGGCATAAAAAGCAAACAACATACAATCATCATGTTTTTATCTCTTTCAGTGATGAGATGCCTGGGCATTCCAAATCGCATCGTCACCAATTTTTCCTCTGCTCAGGATACCAATGAGAATCTCAGTATTGATACTTTCTATGACTCAGATGGGGAAAATATGGGAGGTGAGGACAGTATATGGTAATGATGGAATCAGAAAATAGATATATTTTTATATCCCTGATGAATAAAAATATTTTATTGCCGCAAATTGTGAAAATAAACCATTGCATCTTATGTCCATAATGGAGGTTCTTGCTTTGATGATATAATGTATTTATAATAAGGCCTTTATAATAAAACAGCAGGGGGGCTACCAATTATAATGCCGTTTTCTGGGACTGAAAACCACGAGCGTAGCAGAAGTACAGCATCCATTGGGTAAACACCAACCATAAAATTGAACTATGGCCTTCCATTAAAAAATGTCTTTTGTAATGCAGCACTTAATTATAAGTAGATTTACAGTAACAGCTTCCTCTCCGTCCCCTGCAAAGTCCTACAAATACCTGTTGATGTTCACCTAATGCAGCCCATGATGGTGTGGCCACAATGCTGCACAGCTCCTAAATTCAGAGCAGAGTTGTCACTCTCATGTAGGCTGTGGCTGCTTGCACTACACTGAGATAAATAGATGTTGCAGGGAGTGTGGTTATCAGCTTTGGCATTGGTGATTTCCAAGTCTGTAGCTTCTATCTAGCATCTAGCTACACCTAGTCCTGTCCACTGCTTTCTAGATTTACAGCATTGCCTCTGCGGCTGAAACCCTTCCACTGTAAGCGGCAGTGTTCGGAAAGGGGAGCGTGTTATGGGAGGATTTGTCTCAGTAAGGGGAGGTAAATTAAATTTTTTTTAATGTTTACTGTATGAGGAATGTGCTTAACACAGTAACTGGATTTGAAACTTATTTAAACTGTTATAGAGGAACTTTTAGAAGTTCTTTATCAGAGCAATGATTTCAATAAAGTAGAACCCCAGCCAAAACGTATTTGTTATAGATTGATAGCTTGGGGGAAAGATCACCAGGACAGAAATGGGGGAAATCTATTAAGGAGACAAAGAAATAAATACTTAGTGGGTGGAAGAGCTAGAATGTATATAACATTTTGTTTTGCTGGCTGAGCCCCATTAACCCCTTCCTAACTTTATCCAAAACTGAAGAGGAGGCACCTAGGGGTGTCTGCTAGGGATATCGTTCAGATAACTTTCATGAAAACCCAAAAACCCAGAAGGACTCTATTAGGCAAATCTTGGTTATAGCCTCAGTCCAACCTAAGATCACATCCTCCGGCACCCCACAATTGATTCATATTTAGGATGGGTAGCCCCGCTAACATAGATGGACAACAAGATGGAAATCCTTTGTTTTTTCTGCAAGTACATTTGTTGAGATTAGGTGCCCTTCCTGATGCTATGTCCCACCTCTGTCCTTCACCTGTAAAATGCCATATCTTAAGCGAGCAGTAAAGGTTGTGACCTTTTATCAGTTTAATAACAGGGGCAGGAAAGGCCAAGGACAGCCTGGGTCAGGAATCCCAGGAGTTTCACAGGGAAGCTGCAATCAGTTTAAGGATACTTGCAAAGATACTTAGAGACACCACAAGGTTCAATTTAAACTAACCACAGGTTCAATTGTAGTTACCATGAAAAATTGAGAGTTTTACCCCTTGTATGGTGCTTGTCAGAGGTACGGGGAAAATTCGGAGGAGGGCGGCAGTACTTGATGAGTACACCGGTTAACGCTTTTAGTGTGGTAGGTATAAGTACGGGGGGGGGGACGGGATGGTGGCGTAGGTGTGCGGCTTCCGTTCTGTCTGGACCGGGGTGTCCAACACGTGTGCTGTAGGGAAACAAAAATTGGAGACGGAAGCGCCACTACCTAGCGCAATAAATGTGGTAGAGTGGGGTGTAAGCGTAAGTGTTGTACTCACCTGAGGCTGGGTGAGTATTCGCTTGTAATCGTCGGGTTGCAGTGAAGCGGATGGGGTGGAGTGGTGGTGGTAGTGATCCCTCTTTTTCAGGGTGGCGTGGCGTTTCAACCCAGTAGGCAGATGGGGATACAAACGCGAGGGGGTGAGGTATGCAATGGTGGGTGAAGAAGGGGTGGGCTTCTGTAACTCACCGTGGGGATAGTGGAGGGCGGCTCTCAGCGATGACGGTGCGGCCCGTGTGGTGCCTGGGCGGTGGGCCGTGGGGTGGTCCTCAGGAGTGCTGGCACAGGTGTCCTCTAATGGCAGGTGCTGTGGAGCGGTAGAGCGACGTGTTGTCCTGGATGGGGGAGCTAGAGAGCGGTTGGAGGTGCCGGAGTGTTCAGCCGCAGTGGAGAAGGATTCACGCTGGGGCTTTCGGGCAGCCCGACGGAGCTGTGACCTGCAGGCGTTTGCTGGAGAAGCCTGTAGTGCGGATGTTGCGGCGTGAGCCGTGAAGAGCAGGTCATAGGTAGAAGTTCCGGGGGTTGGAGCCTGGTGTCAAGGAGCGAGCGGTGTCCGTGGACGGGTGGAGTGTAGGAGACACTCTGAAGAACCGTGGAGACCGGGCTGACGGCGATGCGTTTCAAAGGTTAAACCTTTTTTTTCAAGCCGATGCTGATACACACCTTTACTGCGCTCCCCTGCCTCTCCCTTTTCACTTATCTATTTATAAGCTCTGTGTCAGTCCATATTGCTGCTTATACAGTATTAATAACCAATTTCCCTTTGCTCATGGAACAGCGGTGGGACCCAGTGTTTGGCTGCCCAGGCACAAGCATCATGGGCAAAGGTCACATGCCCTTACCTAAGGTACCGTTTATATTCTAGGCCCTTCAACAAATGAACAAGGTCAATACCATTGGGGGAAAAAGGGGCAAACTGAGAGGTTTTCTTTAACTTTTTTTCCCCTACTGTTTTTTAATTTAATTTTTATGCTGCTTTTCTAAAGGGGAAAGGGGGGCCACTTTAAAAAAAGCAGACCTTGCTTTTCAGCTGCAAGGTCTGCTTTTTTTTTTAAGTAGCATGTAAAAAGTAGACAGGTACCTAAAATCTACCATACAGCGTCCTTACTTAATTGTTAATCCCCATATTCTAATGCTAATGGTTTCATTTCAGGAACTTTCATGTATGGAATGAAGCTTGGTTCACCAGAGATGATATAGGATCTTATTATGATGGATGGCAAGTTCTGGATGCAACCCCACAAGAGAAAAGTGATGGTAAAT